TGGGTCCAACTTGACGACACATAACAACAACAAAAGTCTCAAGGGTTTCACCAGGCTCTATCAGACCAGCAAACCTGGTCCTTTTTTTTTTTTTTTTAAGATTTTGAGTTTTGTTCCATATTGTTCTCACACTCTATGCAGGATCTCCTACACAGATCCCCCTCCAACTTATTTCCACAGATTTTTTTATGTATCTTTTAAGATGAGATTTTATCTTAATCTGTTAAACTAACAATGGGTATGTAAGGTAGAAGAAGGCTAGGAAGTATGAGATGAATGTATTTCCTTCTCTGTGTTTTCCCCACACAATTGCTCTTTTTGATTGAAATCTGTGTTCACCCATTCTGATGTGATATGAGGTCTAGCTTGGTCTTTGCCACTCTCTGGCTACCTACACGACTTCTCAGCTTACTTTCCTCATTTATAGAACATTTATATCTTCTAGTTCATGTGCTGTGAGTCTGAGATAAAATCAGTCTTTCCATACATTGTTGGGAGATTGTTTCTTCTGTCAATTCAAGAAATAAAATGTGTACCATTATAGTGTTCCCTCTCCTCTGACAACCCTTTCAGTACAGCTAAGTGCTCGTGAGAAATATTTACTTAATGCACTATATTTAAGTGATTTATGAATAAATGTTAATAAAGTTGGATTTCTACTACCTTTCACTATTTTCTCTCACCTTGAACATATTTCAGAGCACACTAAAGCTCATTTTTTTCTGTAAATTAATAATAAATAAGAGTATCTGTACATTATCATTCATGCATTCTCTAGTCTTTCCATTAGTGATTTATTTCACAGTTTGAGATTGGACTTTCATATTAAATAGTCTTCAACTAAAGCTGCAGTTAGTGTTATTAATGCTAGTATACTTTTGCCATTTATAAAATTATATTAGATATGAGCTGTTATCATTGCTTTACCCAAATTAGTTGTAGAGAAAAGTAGCTGTTGCATTTTGTCACCGATAAACTGGTCAACGGTGTTGTGATAGAAATACCTTAAACTGGGACCTGGAAGTAAGAAGAGTGATTGTTGACAATGGCCAGGTGGTTCTAAAGCATTTAAAGTAACATTAATTACTTAATCTATAACTACTCTTATACCCATTTTACAGATGAGACATGGGAAGTTAAGGAATTTGCTTGAGATTACATAATAAACAGTGGAATCAGGATTCAAACTCAGGCACACTCTGGATCCAAAGTCTGTACCTTATCACCTCTATGCTGTGGGTCCCTCTGGAAGGAGGCATTACATTACAGCTCATCTACCTGATTAGCTTGATATTTTGTGGAATTGTTTGGGCTCTCTGTGTCTCACCTTCAAATGAGCAAGATAATAGCTGAGCAAATGTCTTCATGAGGATGAAATGAAGTAATAGTAGCAAATAAATTTTGAAAGGTTAAGTAGATAATGGGTGTTCATTGGACTCATTTATTATGATTATTCTTTATACATTTTACACAGTGTACTAATATTATTTTGAATCTACTAAATACTTAATTAAAATATATTTAAAATAAAAACTCACTGCCTTCGAGTTGGATCCGACTCACAGTGATCCCCCCTTGGGTTTCCAAGGCAGAATCACTATGAAAGTAGATTGCCCAACCTTCCTTCTGAGGAGTGGCTGGTGGGTTTAAACCACCAGCCTTCTGGTTAGCAGTCAAATGCCTTAGCCA